GGGTGGGGTGGGGGAAGCTGTATGGGTGAGACTGAGGGAACTATATAATCTAAAACAGTTTATATAATTATATAACAGTATATAACCTAAAACATTAATTATTTTAGCTCCAAATAGGAATCAATTACCCCCAAATTGGGCAATGACAGAGCTATGAGAAGGCAGTCAATCTTAAAAAACAATGGTTATGAAGACTGTGTAGCAACATGGAAAGCGATCCTACAACACTAATGGAAAAAGGATTATGGAATTTTATGTGTAGGTATGGTATGACAGCAACCATGTCCAGAACTTGCATATTCCATGGGCGGGCCACTCCCCCACCTCCGCTCTGCTGGTGTTCTTCTGTTGCTGGGAAGTCCCTTTCCTCCTCCACCTGAATTTCTGTCCTGTCCGCTCCCGCCGTTATATACCAAACCACTCTAGCCCCGTCGCTGTGAAACTGTAGCAGCCCCAGTTGGATTCGTTACTCTCAGGTTCTCTGCAGTCAAGGATCTTGGATATAAACAAATCAAATCTTATCACTCTCCCCAGAATCCCTGGCTTCCAGGAATTTAAGGATAAAGTCCCAAAGTACTTAATGTGATAAAGATGCCAAGGCTGACCTCCAGACTCATCTCAAACGACTTCTACTCATTCTCTGAGCTCCAGCCACAAGGACCCTTCCCTTCCTCCCTTCCTTCCTCTCCTCCTTCCTTCCTCTCCACCCCTCCCCCTGCCCCCCCAAGACACCAAAGCCATTTTTTGTCCAGGTCTTCCCCTATTGACACACTGGCCCTCCTTTTTTGGAATGGTGACCTGCCTATATGACCTTGCCATACCCTTTGGCCACGGTGCTTTGGGCAGCAGGATCCCTTCACAGGGTGCCTCTAGTCAATATCCCCAGTCCTCTTGCTGCTTAACCACTTCCCTGGCCATCCCCATGGTGGAGGTCCCAGCCAGCCCCATTCAGACACAGGATACCAGGGAGGCACCTTCTATAATGGTCGAGGTCAAAGGTCACAAGGATCTGAACTAAGAAAAGGGCAACAAGAACAGAAGAGATCTATGAGCAGTCCAGTGACCCATGACTTCAGGTGGCCCCAATGGAGCGCTAATCCCAAACCTCACAGCCATATCATCGAGCCCTGGCTCAAATATGCAAGAAGGTAAATGAAAACTGGAATCAAGATAATAACTGCTGGAGGCATAATATTACCTGCTCAACTGCTAATCAGTAGGACTGACTTCAGCCTGGGCAGGTCAGCAGTCAAGGATTTAGACAAGTTCCCTCAAGTCTAGGAATATAACCCTACTTCACAGGGCCAGGACTCCTCGGGCCCCTGTATTCAAGGTCCTTCTATAGGCCAAGGAAGCAAACGACAGGGGAAGGAACATAAGCTTTGCTTTGGACATCTCTGGATTTGAATTCTGGCTGTTTCACTTATTAGCTGTGACTCTGGGCCAGTTGCTTCAACCTCTCTGAAGCCCCCTTTCTTCCCTGTTACATACACGTGGAAGCAGAATAAGCCAGTAAAGAATACAGAGTTTGAAATCTGAGTGCCTGGGTTTAAAGTCCTCTCTCCTCTATATACTATGGATGAAGCCTGTAAGTTTCAAAATCATACCAAAAAAAAATGGGAATAATAATCACATGCACCTTAAAAAATAATCACAGGTACCTCATGGGATTGCTGTGAAAAGTAAGTAAGATTTTGCCAGCGCCGAGCAAATACAAGTTTCCCCCACTATGCAAAAAGTACAGCAATCCTATGAAACTTTTTATAAACTGAAATGGTAGAAAGTGAAGAAACAATGGGAAATTTTTTGAGCATTCACTTAGGCTTTCCTGAAACCTTAGGGCACATCTCGCTAACGCATGCACATAATCGACTGAGGTGAAGCAGGTGCTCATAGACAGTTCAAAGCTATGGGGGCTGGATGCCGAGTGTCATTCCCAGGGAAGGAGACTCATGGGGCCACTCTCACTGCTTGGGGTGTGCCCAGCCTCTGTAACGGCTCACTGCAAAACAAATGCTGAACACAACTTTCAGTTTTTGCCTTTTTTCACAAAAATGAAAACCCTCTTCAGATTGCTTTCGGTTAGCAAAAACAGGTACTAAGGTAGGTCTGTCATAAAAGCCAAGGGTCATAACACGAACTTTCTTAAAGCGGGGGACATCTGTACTAGCATCAGGAAGCGGGCTGTAATTATTATCACGGAAAGCATCTAGTGCTGTGTTTGATACATCAGGGGACTCGTCACCGCCCCCTCTTGTCCCCGAGACAAGCAGGACCCACATGCCACCACGTCTGTGCCCATTCTTGGGACGTGTAGAAGTCAATTCCACATCTCGTCACAGATCTGGGTGTGGGCCCACTACCCAGCAAGGAAATGTTCATGATCAAAAGACACGGCTTCCTTCTTACAGGATCACCGCTCAGTTGGAAGACTGTTCACACCTGATGTAACCCAGTCAGCGTAAAGGAATCCTTTTCTGAAAATTTACTCATTCATAAAAAGTTCTCAAAGTACAAAAAATGAAGACAAAGATGTTATCAAAATGTGGCCCGGTAGAGTGAGTCTGAAAGGTAGGGATCAGCCAGCCATACCTGTGAATACGCTAGGCCTCCCAGAGAGCAGCCCCAGGAAAGCAGCCAGGGAGGTCAGGAGACAGGAGCCCCCCGTGTGGCAGAGAACCAGAGGGGGGATAAAGAATTGGCAGCTGTAGGGGAAGAAAAGGGCACATGGGGGAAAGGGAGGTGTGAACGGGAGAGCAGAGGCTACACCACTGGGCACTGGGGAAAAGCGACAGGTGTGCAGGGAAGGCAAGAAATACAACAAGGACAGAGGAAGGAACGCCTGAGCCGCTCTGCATGCAGATGAGGGACATTCCCCAAGTCTACGCCAAGACCAAGTCCAATTCCTCTGACTGCCCCCGGGGGGACCCATCCACTGCCTGCCTCTAGAAACAAGGCTGCCACTCAGGGCAAGGGCCACCATGAAAATACCTAGAGACGGGCCCTGCATGAGCCACAGCATGGGGCCCCCACTGCTCATGTCATGGTCTGGGATTTGGTTTTTGCAACGCTTATTCAAAGGGTATTCCATGGTGGCTGTAGGGAAGAACCAGGTAAGCCGAGCTCCAGGGTAGACGTTGATGGAAGAAATTCTCAGCAGCGCTGGTGGGACCCAGAGGCGACCTCAGTCATCCTACGAGTTAAGTAAAGAGGTGTGAAGAGAGCACATTTCATGAAAGTCTTCTACAAGGCATCAGACGAACAAGGGTTCAACCGAGTGGTACCAATGGGGCCCTCGGCCATCCTCCTTGGCTTTCCCTCATTAGAGCTGGCCCAAGGAGCTGGCCTGGCAGCCCTGATTATTTTTCATTCCGAGACTCCCTTTAGTAAGACAAAGGGGAATCCAGACCCTCTACTCTTCCTGCCCTGCTTTCTCTGGCGAATGTCATCATTCGCCATGGGTGAATAACCCATTTTTCAGTTGTAAATGTTCAATTTGGGGCCTTTTGACATCAAACCTTCAGGTGAAATATGCTTCGGGAAAACACATCAACTGCAGATGGAAGGCTGGGATGATGGACTGTGGCCAGGGGGGGGGGGGGATCCTCGGCAGAAAAAAAAAAAAAAAAGCTCATTCAGCTCAGCTGCCACAACATGGCTAATGTGTTCACTTGAAGTGATAATGTTTGGAGATGTAATGGCATCAGGTTTCCCTGGTTTCCCTGTGAATTCCATTCTTTCCAGCCCTTGCTTTTATCCATCTTTGGAACTTTCTTGTAGATTGGCACAGTTCCGACCTACCGAAAAGAAAGGTCTTTCAGGTTGTCACCCTTCTTGCCTCGAAAGGAGTTTTCCCGAGGCTAACACATTCTCAGAAATTCCATGAACACCAAAGCTGGGGGGAGCAAAATTTATGCTGCCGTGTCCTTGTCCTACACCCAGCCACAACCTGCGTGTACGAAGCTCCCGCCAAGAGATAAACCGTACCAATGCCAGGCTCACAGACATCTCTCTTGACCTACCCACTCCTCGTCCTCTGCCCCGTCCCCCTGCTCTCGGATCTCCGCCGTGGCCTCCTCCGAAGACTTTTGGGCCATGATGTTGTCCGTCCAGGATGCTCCTGTCTTTCCATCACCAGCGAAATTACACTTGGTCACTGTTCCAGCCTCAAGTTTGGCTAATGACTCTGAAAGAAGGGAAGAAGTTGAACGGCTTGTCTTTCTATAGTGGTAAAATAGTGGGGGCCCGGCCTGCTCTGCTGGGTACCCTAGGCCCGGGTTAAACCACTGCTCTCTTCAGTGCCCTCAGGGAGGCCCTGAGTGTGACCCCCAAGGCACTAAATAGGAGAGATCACCCTAGGGAACCACGGGATTAGGCGGCACCCCAGGATCCAGAGTGTCTAGGCTGCTGGCCCCAGGGCACTTGTCCGGAGACTTAGGAAGAAGTCTCGGGAATAAGCAGACCTGGCCCACTCACGTGGGTTCTCAGCAGGTGGGGTGGAGGAGCCCTAAACAGGAGGCCGGGAACCGCTATGGGCCACGGGGACACGAGACCACGTGAGGGCTGCACTGCTCACCCAGGAAGGGGCCGTCGCCTCGGGTTTTCAGCCGTACCCCGATCCCCAGCTCAAGCTCCATCGCCCCCATCTCTGACTCGGGCATCCAGAACGCCACCGTCTGGTCGGGGGTGAGGCTCTCCGTCAGCGCAAGCAGTTCTGGCTTTTGGACCAGGCTCTTCAGCGCCTCGGGCGTGAGTCTGTCCGTGTCCCCCGCAGCTTCCACCTCTGCAGGCACACAGCACAGGAGGGTCACAGCAAGCACTCAGGGAGGGTCTTTTGGGAGCCAGGGGAGACCTGAGTGTCTGACGTGCCCACAACCACCTGAAGGCAGGGCTGTGCGTGCCCGCGGTGCCAGGAGTCATCGAGGCTGTCCTGGCAGGTGACTTCCGGCCCCGGGCTCTGGAGCCAGGCTGCCTGCTGCACATCTGCTCACAAGCCACGTGAGCCCGTGCAAAGGTGACTTAACCTCTCTGTGCCTGACAACAAGGGATAAAAAGGGTACCTAATGACAGGGTGGACATGAGGTGTAAACGAAATGACACCCGTGAAGCACTTAGCACAGAGTCTGGCACATGGTAAACCCCCAATGAGCGTAAATGTTTTCATTATCCCTTTTTTTTTTTTTACGCGGGAGAAAACGACGGCTTAGAGAGGTGAGGTGATCTGCCCAAGGTCACACAGCTGGTCAGCGGAGGAGGCGGGATTCAAACCCTCTACAAAATTCTGCCTCCGCACGGATTCCCCACTGCCTAGACAGGGTTCTTCTCCCCAGGCTCTGAGGGTCTCCTGGCTGGGCTGGGGTCTGTGGAAAGAGCAGCGAACTACGGGGTCCACACACTCTCCCCTGGCCGGCTCACCCCAGCCCCGGCAGAGCTCGGAGGCTCGGGGGGGGGGGGGGGAGGGATCCCAACAGCCTCACCTACCTGCCCTGAATGTCCCAAATCTGCAGATCCCGGGTCGGGTCCGGCGGGGGGCGTGGGGTGGGATGAGGTGATGGTCCGAGACTGAGAAGTGAGGCCTCACAGGGCTGGGAAGACTCACAGGCCCCAAGAGCCCAGGAAGGTGTGCACAGCCACCCCAGCTCAGCAACCCAGCGCGGGTGGGCCTCTCCACGCCGAGAGCCAGGGGCAGCGAGAGTAGCCCAACAGCCGTGGAGGCCGGACCCTGTTCCATTCAGGGTGTAAAACCTTGCCGGGTTCTGTCGGGGACGCCCTCTCGGGTTCCCCAGACGCCGCACTCCCACCAAGGGCTTTCGAACTGCTCCTGGTTCCTCAGCCCTCACCCCGCCCAACGTCCCTCAGACAGAGCACCTCTCACCTCCACTCCCCAAGGTCACGGAAGCCCGAGGTGGGGTTACTCACCCTGCCACCGCCCTGTCAATTTACCAATAAGCACAAGAAACCTCTCCTCCTTCTCTTCCGTTTCCGTCTCAAAGGACCAAGTGTCCCTCTCCTGCCTCGAGCCAGCGTTCCTCCATCTGGGCTCCAGATCCCAGCCCTCTCCGTCCTCGGGCACCTGGGTCTCCTGCTCCACACTGGATCTTACCTTAACGCCTTCCTGAATTCTGGCTTTGACACCCACTACTCCAGACCCCCCTCTCCCCGAGTCACTGGGAGCACTTCACTGTGAGCCCACTGGATGCCCCACAGTCCTGGCCTTGCTGGGCCTCAGGCAGCACCTGACCCCATTGCTACCCCCACTCAGAGAGACACATGCTCCCTACTTCCCTCAGACCTCTGCAGGGGTCCCTCCTCTGGTTCCTAGTGGGCTCCTTCCTGGCCTCCCGGGTGACTCCATATCCACTCTCACAGCTTCCGTACTCGCAATGTGTGATGGGCCCTAAACGTGTGCCACCAGCCCCGCCTGCTTCCTGGGTTCCAGAATTGTGCCTCCAAGGCCCCAGCGGGCATCATCCTCTACCTAGAGGTGCAACCACGTGTCCCAGACAGAACTCTTCTCCTCACACCTGCCTGAGCCCAAACCCCAGGGTCGTCCCTGACCCCTCTCTCACTCTCTCCATCTCCAAACACTGAGGCCGCTGTGCCTCCTCTGTCCCGAGTCTCTCCAGTCTCTGCATCCTCACTGACAGGCCCTTAATCTGGCCACCACGGCCTCTCAACAGGCCTGCTGGTCGCCCCCTGGGATTTTTGTTAAGTTTACTTATTTTTTATTTTATTTTTTTTAGGAATCTCTACACCCAACATGGGGCTTGAACTCACGATCCCGAGATCAAGAGTCACATGCTCTTCTGACTGAGCTAGCCAGGCACCCCTCCCCCTGGGAGGGGATTTGTTTATTTTTTTTAAGTTTATTTATTTATTTTGAGAGAGAGAGAGAGAAAGAGCATACTCGAGCAGGGAAGGGGCAGAGAGAGAGGGAGAGAGAGAGACAATCCCAAGCAAGCTCTGCACTGTCAGTCAGTGCAGAGCCCAATGTGGGGCTCAAACTCACGAACTGTGACATCATGGCCTAGGCTGAAGTCGGATGCTTAACCCACTGAGCCACCCAGGTGCTCCCCGCTCCACCCCGGGATTTTTTAAAACCGTTCTAATCACATCCCTGCCCTACTTGAAACCACTCACAACAGGACTCCGTTGCATTCTCGATCAGGTGTCCTTCTGGGGCCCTTCTCCACCTGGCTCCTGCCTCCCTAAAGGCTTCTCCTCGCCTGCATCAGGAGCCCCCAGTTCCCAGCATGCTTTGGCCTGCAACCCCCTCCTGCAACCCCTTTCCAAACCCCAGCACCCTGCTGATTCCTGCTTTCCTTTCAGCGTTTTGCACTGGTGTTCCCCACTCCAGGCCCGCCCCCGACCGTGCCTGCCTGGGCCCAGAGCCCCTCCTCTGTCCTGTCCATCTCCTCTAAGGGACTGAGGACATCTCGAATGCAGGTCCAAATCTTGTTTGTCCCTGTGGTCCCTGGACCCTGGCATGTGGCTCAGGGCCTGGCAGAGGGTAGATGCTCATTAAATATTCAGAGAATGAACGGACAACTGAAACTATGAATGAATAAACTGATAGAGGGATGGAAGGATTCTCACTCAACCTCCAAACCTTCTTCCACAGACAGCAAAGCGGTGTCTGTAGAGCCACAGTTGGAAAGAGGAAGGAGGTCCAAGGGCCTAAGAATCATATGGAATTTGGGCAGGAAGATGAAGGCTGCCAGGGGCCTGGCCTGGGCTCTGCACAAAGGCAGTGAGAGCCCAGAGCCAGGTTCTCGGTCGCCTCTGCCAGACTGCAGGAGTCAGGCCAGCCAGGCCCCTGGGATTGAGGTGGGGCACTGGGGATCCTCTGAGTGAATGAGGGGCAGGAGGAGTCCGGCCAGCAGGCCCCCAGGCCAGACATGGACTCCAAGGCTGAGCGGACACTCATTAGGGACCAAGAGACACAGCAAGGCCACAGGGTGGGAGGGCCCTGAGGGAGGAAGGACGGAAGATACCTACTGTAGGACGACATGAGGAAGCCCGTGTTCACCTTCTTGGTGGCACTGAAGTTGGGCTCGATTTCGTTTCCCTTGGGGTCGAACTTCCGGCGATGGATGAGACTGGGCCGGATGTAGAGCACGTAGTAGCGCTCCTGGGGCCGGAGACAGGGAGG